GCGGAATACGGTGGCTGCGGTATCATTAGTGTGTTGTTTTTGGCCAAAAGGTCGCGCACAAGCAACGATGTGTGAGCAGGGGCGTTATCGTGGTGCAAAAGCCAATTTTTGTTCTTCCACAAATCCGGGCGTTTCTGGCGGATTGCTTCGCGCAAATTGCGCATAACTTGCAGGTAATATTCCTTATTGACCGTTCTACCCTGTGGCAAGAACTCATGATGCACCACGCCCCTGCAATCGAAGAAAACTGTCAGCAAAACTTTCACATTCGACCGAACTTGGCGCGCTTTTTTCGGTCTTGGTTCGTGCGGCAGCTTCCATTGAGATGATTGAGCTTTGGTTTCCACATCATAACCATAAACCCACGCTTCGTCACCAGTTATGACCCTCTGGAGCAAATTTGGGTCGTCGCGGACAGAGTCCAACATCTCATTAGCAATGTTCATGCGATGCTGTTTTTGGTCGCAATTTTTTTGGTCAGAGTTATTGTCTCAATCCCGATATACATGCTAAAAGGTACAACTTCCTTAAGTTTTGTCCATGAGTGTATACACACTTGGTTTTATCGTGTGCCTTCAATAAAGGTCACTGTAATATCTTTCAGAGTTATAGTCTCAATCCCGATATATATGCTAAAAGGTACAACTTCCTTAAGTTTTGTCCATGAGTGTATACACACTTGGTTATCTCGTTTGTCTTCAATAAAGGTCACTGTAATATCTTTTATACCAAAATAAAGGTTAGAATTTTGAAATTCAAAGCTAGCCATTCAAATCATAAAATAGAGATAAGTGTTTGACAACTTTCAATAATAGAACCTATCTTTTCAATCCAGAAATTCTCTATTTAGTGCTATGACACCCTTTCAAAATAAGGCTTAAAGTGTAAAAAATACGTTTAAAAGCATCGTTTGGTATTTTTTTTTTTATAAAAAATAAAATCTTAAAAATATATTTTCACAAAATTCGATATATTTTAAAGTATTTATTATCAAATATCTATTTTTTAAAGTAATATAAAAATTTCAAACGATTTATCTTTATTTTTCTTTTTTAACTTTTATTTGTTCGTCTGCGTCTCTCAAACTCTCGTCTGCCGTTAATTTTTAAGTAGTGTGCCCGAACGTTTATTTGAAATTATAGATGAAATAGTGTTTTAACGTCTTTTTCAATACTGTTAACAGTCCATTAGTAAAATAAATAAGGTAAATAAACACAAATATCTAATAAATATATACTTTAAAATAGCAATTGATGTTTTCATTAGAAAACTTTGAACAAAACACTATAAAGGAATGACAATACATCCAGATGGCACAAGTACCTATAGGACATGTAACAACTGTCCTGGTGTGGAACTAACACCTACCTACATATTGTCATGTCCAGCAATGGCCGCAACCTTGAAGAAAATTGACATGGACCCAGAACAGCAGCTTTACACATCCAAGATAGTGGACATTGCTGCTGCTGTGATAGAGATGTATGGAGACATCTGAGGCTTTTCATTGGACACGACAACAACAGAATATTGACCCAGAACAGCAGCTTTACACACCCAAGAACATTACGACTGCTGTGATAGAGATGTATGGAAACATCTGAGGCTTTTCATTGGACACGACAACAACATAAAATTGACCCAGAACAGCAGCTTTACACACCCAAGAACATTACGACTGCTGTGATAGAGATGTATAGATACATCTGAGGCTTTTCATTGGACACGACAACAACATAAAATTGACCCAGAACAGCAGCTTTACACACCCAAGAACATTACGACTGCTGTGATAGAGATGTATGGAGACATCTGAGGCTTTTCATTGGACACGACAACAACAGAAAATTGACCCAGAACAGCAGCTTAACACACCCAAGAACATTACGACTGCTGTGATAGAGATGTATGGAGACATCTGAGGCTTTTCATTGGACACGACAACAACAGAAAATTGACCCAGAACAGCAGCTTTACACACCCAAGAACATTACGACTGCTGTGATAGAGATGTATGGAGACATCTGAGGCTCTTCATTGGACACGACAACAACAGAAAATTGACCCAGAACAGCAGCTTTACACACCCAAGAACATTACGACTGCTGTGATAGAGATGTATGGAGATAACTGAGGCTCTTCATTGGACACAACAACAACAGAAAATTGACCCAGAACAGCAGCTTTACACACCCAAGAACATTACGACTGATGTGATAGAGATGTATGGAGACATCTGAGGCTCTTCATTGGACAGAATGTACAAGTATATAGGTTTATCACTTTTAATACAACATTTTGCATATTATACATCAGAACGCCATCTGTTATTTAAAAAAATCGAAACTATTATATTAATTTTTCATTACAGTAAGGGCAGTAGAAAATTGTTTATTTTTAAAAGAATCATACGCGTCTATAATAGTTTCGAATTTTCTTATAACATTTACCATTTTAATGATAATATTTTTCATTTTAATAAATAATATATAATTAAAAATGGCATATCCTGACCAGGAACACATGTGCTTTACAGATAGCAGAGCGCCATCTAGTTAAACAGAAATCAACTAATCATTGATTTAACCTGTTCCCTGATATTTGGCCAATCCAATATCTTGATAAATCAAGAAAAGCCATCCACGAACGCGTTTCGCGCTGTTGGCGCTCGTCAGCGTGGAGTAGGTTGTAACCACTGCGACCAAAAATATTTTTGGTCCCAGTGGCTTCTTGAGAAACCAAGAAATGGGTATTTAAAGTCAAACTTTCGTAAATACGCTTAACACATGAAAAAATAAAAAGGTCAGGTGTTGATATTAAAAATAAAAAAGGCATATCCTGACCAGGAGCACATGTGCTTTTTAGATTCGTGGATGACTTTTCTTGATTTATCAAGAAATTGGGTTGGTCAAATATCAGGGAACAGGTTAAATCAATGTTTAGTTGATTTCTGTTCCATTAGATGGCGCTCTCTGCCCACCAAGTATTGTGACCATCCCTTATTTCTATATAGGAAACGTTACAATATTCTAGCCATAGATTTGGCCCAGCCACTTTACCAGCTAAACACCTTTTTGACAGATTTTCAAGATTCCATTAGATCCCGTGTATATCTCATGGAATAAAGTCCACCCCAGACTGACGAGGGCCATTAGCCAGAAACCATGGTCTCTAGGTGGACACTTCTCAGTTTGCCAAAGCTGGTGTTGTGGCTTTGTCACCGACCCGAGGCCGCTAGTTGCGGTGACGGTCAATAGATGGCGTCAGGTTTTGCCGTTTATTTTGACGAGAGAGGCGCCCTATGCTTCTATGGATAAATTTCCTACCGGCAAAATTTCCATCTATAGGTAGAAATGTGGAGTACTTAGAGTATAATACATATGTAGAAATACATATAGACGTATTGAGATGATATTTCCATATACATATTATGAATATATTGTTGTTGTTGTTGTTGTTAGATAAAGGGTTGATAAGACAAAGGATCGATTAGATAAAGGGTTGAGGTGCAGTCGTGATAAGAAAAATATAATTATTTACCGTCAAGTAGCTTTTATTTTCAATTACTTGAGGAAATACATTAGTTATTTTAACATTATATAGAATTTATAAAGTTAATCCTATATTAGTGATTTAAAAGGATAGATATGTTAACTACGCATATTTACAACAAAACTATAAAACAAAACTGAAAGTCTTTCTAAAAACGATGATAACAAAAGTAAAATTATCAATGAATAAAATATCTATTTTTTTAAATATAGAAATATTAGAATTTTTAGATTATATAATATATATACATATGTAAATTTTACCGGGAGGATATTGATCTACAGAATTGAGGTCATCTACTGATATAGCGTTTATTTTGACCGTAGGTTGACCTTAATTTGATTGACTGTCAATATTCCCCCGACAAAATTTCCATCTATATTTCCACGTGGAAAATTAGTAAAGACAAAAACTTCAGGATGACACAGCAATTTATTTAAGACAAGAACAAGCTATGAAAGATAATTCATGAATAAAAGATAAGCAATGAGGGAAGTTTACAGAATAACAAAATATAAACATGAAAAATGATACTCTGTTAATAAAATAATAAATATTTTGTTACATATCTTCTTCCCTATGGGAGCTGTGACCCACAGCTTGTAATTATTATAGACACTGACATGGATCTGACGTGCTTCTGTCAAGGATTCCATTGAAGTCTTAGAACTTTGTCCCTAGTAACTTTGCGTCCTTTTTCTTGCGGCGTGAAGAGCGGCTTTGTCGTCGTATCGTCTATAGGGACATCGTCATCTTGGAGGGAAGTATTGGCTTTGACACGGCGGTGGAATCCTGGAGTCAGTCTCTGAAAATGTAGATCACAGCACCCATGGCTTCAAAGTCTTCTCGGCGATCTTCAGTTTGTTTTCCCTAATTTACCCAGCATCTCCACCAAAATGCCTCGTGCAAAATTAGGGAAGACAAACTTCAGGATGACACAGCAATCAAAGACAAGAACAAACTATGAATGATAAACAAAAGATAAGCAATGAGGGAAGTTTACAGAATAATAAAATAATGAATACTTTACCTACAATATTTTGTTCATAGATTTGACATAGTCATTCTACCAGCTAAACACCTCTTTGACAGATTGTGAAGATTCCATTAGATCCCTTGTGGATACAATAAAATACATAGGTAGAAATACATAAAGTCATATGTAGAAAACATTGTTCAAATCTTGCAATTACAAGTTTGTGTAAAGTTTCATTTAGTTTCTTACACTTACTGTTGAAATTAGACTTTTTCAAGAATCGGAAAACATTTAGCATATTTTTTATTAGAAAAAAAGTTTCAAAATCGGGATTCGAACCCAGGTCATTGAGTAGTAAAACCAACAGTGTAAACCACTACTCCAATAACCCAACACACAATATACAAATATTTCTATATTTAAGTTGACCCTAAATTTTCTGGTCTCTACACCATTATTAAACAATAAAAATTGCCCAATACGGGATTCGAACCCGTGCCATTCAATCAAAAACCAACAGTTTAAACCACTACTCCACCAACCCAACACTCAATATATACAAATCTTTCTATATTTAAGTTGACCCTAAATTCTCTTGCCTCTACACCTGTATTAAACAATAAAAAGTGCCCAATACGGGATTCGAACCCGTGCCATTCAATCAAAAACCAACAGTTTAAACCACTACTCCAACGACCCAACACTCAATATACAAAACTCTTTATATTTTAGTTGACTCTATATTCTTTTTATCCACACTTATACACCCATTTTTTTTCTTCTTCAAAGTAATTTACCGTCGTTCTGTTTTACCAGCAGATTTCGGACTAGTTTTCTCTGTTTTTGGCGGCCTTCCCAGTGCTAATCAACCTGCTGGAGTAACGTCACGTGACCTCTCCCCATCGACCAATCAGAGTAGCGCTACCTATTTTTTTATTTATGGATTGGGCTCGGAGAAAATTTGGTTTAGATTGAACTAGCGCCTTTTGATTGGTTCCGTACACCATTTTACTATCGATATATTATGTAACAACTTTTAGTTAATACATACATGTCTTATTGCTTTTTTGTATGTTTTTTTTATGTTTGTATTTATTTACTTCTGAGACTTTTCTTTGATGGATTGAATGTATTGGATATAGAATGAATGGATGAATGTTTTTTTCACTGTATGCATAGTATATTTTAGTGACATGGTGAGACAATATGCTATATATTATCATGTTATACTCATGGACAATATTTATGGAAGTGGAAAGTTTTTGATGTCGCGCTGGTCGTCTATTTTTTTTTTTTTTTTGAAGGAGGCAGAGGTTGTTCGCACTTGGTTATCTTGTGTATTTTCAATAAAGGTCACTGTAATATCTTTCAGAGTTATTGTCTCAATCCCGATATACATGCTAAATGGTACAACTTCCTTAAGTTTTGTCCATGAGTGTATACACACTTGGTTATCTCGTGTGTCTTCAATAAAGGTCACTGTAATATCTTTCAGAGTTATTGTCTCAATCCCGATATACATGCTAAAAGGTACAACTTCCTTAAGTTTTGTCCATGAGTGTATACACACTTGGTTATCTCGTGTGTCTTCAATAAAGGTCACTGTGATATCTTTCAGAGTTATTGTCTCAATCCCGATATACATGCTAAAAGGTATAACTTCCTTAAGGTTTGTCCATGAGTGTATTATACAAAATTAAAATTGAAAAGAAAAATCTGCCATAATCGCTCTTCTGTATTTTTCGTCTGTAATAATTGGCATTCTAAAATATAGGGTTATTTTTTTTAAAAATAAATTTGACATTGATACATTTCTTATAAAAGATCAACAAATTTTTTAACTCTAATTTGCTAACTGGTAATTTTCAATAACCTTTTTCATCTCAAATACAAAAAAAAGTCTGCAATTTTACAATAAATTCACAGAAGCATAAAGATAATTTCATTTTATCACAAGTCAAAACTTAATAAAATTCTTCGCGTATAAGAAAAAATTTAAAAATATATTTTAAAGAAAGAATACAATTCAGTTTGATTTTTTAGAAGCAGACGACATCATTTTGAAAAAGAATTTAGAATGATCTATCATAAACAAACGTAGCCAACGGGAAATATTATGCAAACAGTTGGGTTACATGATTGATGTTGTGAAAAAAAACCAAATAATTTCCGGAGATAATGGCTGAAATTAGCTGAGTTCGCTACCACTCAGAACCATCTTTTTTTATTCTTTTTTTTTTGTTTTTGTTTTAGAAGAATTGGCAAACTGATCAATAGGTTATTTCTTTACATTGAAGGACATTTTAAGAAAATTCTCATGTATTTGTATTAAATATCCTTTTTATACATTTTCTTTCTTTTTTATTTAAAATATATCAATATTTTCAAGTTTTGTATTGTATTTATTTGAGTGAAAACACAAGGTAATAAGACACCAAATCAAAATGAATAAATAGTGTGTGACGTTTCAGTAACAGTGTTGTTACCATCTTCAGACAAAAGTACTGAATGCCTTTTACTTTTTTACTGAATAAAATTTATTATAAATAAATTTACTGGCAATGTTTTTCTTTTCAATAATATCATCAAATATTATATCTACAGACCTTACTGCAATAAGTTATTAAATGAGAGGGCTTGGCTCATCAGTAGTGAATCCTCTCAGCCGTTTCACCAATTTAATCTACCAGACCGCTTATTTAGAGCTCTAATACTGTATTGGATCATTCTGCTTATATATGGTACACTGGTTTATTTTTCTTCAAGTAATTGAAAAATGAAAACTACTTGATGGTAAATAATTATCTTTTTCTTATCACTTTATCTTATCGATCCTTTGTCTTATCAACCCTTTATCTTATCGATCCTTTGTCTTATCAACCCTTTATCTTATCGATCCTTTGTCTTATCAACCCTTTATCTTATCGATCCTTTGTCTTATCAACCCTTTATCTAACAACAACAAAATATTCATAACATATATATATTGCCACGTAGAAAATAGGGAAGACAAACTTCAGGATAACACAGCAATTTATTTAAGACAAGAACAAACTATGAATGATAAACAAAAGATAAGCAATGAGGGAAGTTTACAGAGTAGCAAAATATAAACATAAAAAATGATACTATGTTAATAAAATAATAAATACTTTGCTACATAGCTTTTTCCCTATGGGAGCTGTGACCCACAGCTAGCAATTATTGTAGATACTGACATGGATCTGACGTGCTTCTGCCAAGGATTCCATCGAAGTCTTGGAACTTTGTCCCTAGTACCTTTGCGTCCTTTTTCTTGCGGCGTGAAGAGCGGCTTTGTCGCCGTATCGTCTATAGGGACATCGTCATCTTGGAGGGAAGTCTTGGCTTTGACACGGCAGTGGAATCCTGGAGCCACTCTCTGAAAATGTAGATCACAGCACCCATGGCCTCTAGGTCTTCTCGGCGATCTTCAGTTTGTCTTCCATAATTTACCCATCATCTACACCAAAATGATACGTGGAAGATTAGGAATGATCACATAGTAGCAAAATAAACATTGAAAATTATATTCTGTTAATAAAATAATTAATATTCTGCTACAATTTAATAAATTTTAGTTTGTGATTGTGTCTTACATAAATTACTGTGTCAAACTGAGGTTTTTCTTTTCTTAATTGGCTATGTGACAATATTATAAGGGCAATTAATTTGCATTAAGGAGAGTGAAAAAACTTTCAATATCCATGGTCAACAATGATGTTCATTGGAGAAATTAGAAGCTATAGAGAAAGGCAAGACTTGATTCTGGGCGGTGTAGCTGTTGGACTTGATAATAAATTCCATACTGAATACTGAGGTAGCTGCAACCACGCCCTGCTACTGGCCCACCCACTGGTGTGACGTCACGTTGACGTCATTCACGCGAGATAGCTTTTAGCATGTATATCGGGATTGAGACAATAACTCTGAAATATATTACAGTGACCTTTATTGAAGACACACGAGATAACCAAGTGTGTATACACTCATGGACGAAACTTAAGGAAGTTGTACCTTTCAGCATGTATATCGGGATTGAGACAATAACTCTGAAAGATATTACAGTGACCTTTATTGAAAATACACAAGATAACCAAGTGCGTATACAATCATGGACAAAACTTATGGAAGTTGTACCTTTTAGCATTTATATCGGGATTGAGACAATAACTCTGAAAGATATTACAGTGACCTATATTGAAGACACACGAGACTACCAAGTGTGAACAGCCTCTGTCTCTTTAAAAAATATACATATCGACGACCGACGATATCAAAGACTTTCCAATTCCATAAAATTTGTCCATGAGTGTATAATATATAAGAAGTATCATCCAATACAGTATTAGAGCTCTAAAAAGCGGTTTGTGTATATTAAACTGGCCAAACTGCAGGAAGAGTTTACCACTGATGAGCTTATCCTTCTAAATATTTTTTCATCGCACTAAAGACAGTAGAAGTTTGTTTTAATATGAAATGAACATGTTATCCATAATATTTGTTCATTTTATATATGAATGGTAGTGTTTCTATATTTAAAAAAAAAAAGATGTTGAAAGCGCATATCTTGTATTAGCCAATAAGCGATAAGTATGTCGAGTGATAAGGTTGAAAATTCCAGCCAATGAACGGCTATCTATTTTGCTATAAACAACTCACTTACTTATCGTGGTGATTTGTGTAATGTCGTGTGTAGGATAGACATTGAGAATGGACAGTAACTGTACGTGCCCGCCCGATGTGGTCTTAATAATATTGTAGCAAAGTATTTATTATTTTATTAACAGAGTATCAATTTTGTTGTTTATATTTTGTTACTCTGTAAACTTCCCTCATTGTTTATCTTTTGTTTATCATTCATAGTTTGTTCTTGTCTGAAATAAATTGCTGTTTCATCCTGAAGTTTGTCTTTCCTAATTTTCCATGTGGAAATTTGATGGAGATGCTGGGTAAATTAGGGAAGACAAACTGAAGATCGCTGAGAAGACCTAGAGGCCATGGATGCTGTGATCTACATTTTCTTCTGAGACTGACTTCAGGATTCCACCGCCGTGTCAAAACCAAGACTTCCCTCCAAGATGACGATGCCCCTATAGACGATATGACGACAAAGCCGCTCTTCACGCCGCAAGAAAAAGGACGCAAAGGTACTAGGGACAAAGTTTCAAGACTAAAGGAATCCTTGGCAGAAGCACGTCAGATCCATGTCAGTAACTGCAATAATTGCTAGCTGTGGGTCACAGCTCCCATAGGGAAGAAGCTATGTAACAAAGTATTTATTATTTTATTAACAGAGTATCATTTTTTATGTTTATATTTTGTTTCTCTATAAACTTCCCTCATTGTTTATCTTTTGTTTATCATTCATAGTTTGTTCTTGTCTTAAATAAATTGCTGTGTCATCCTGAAGTTTGTCTTCCCTAATTTTCCACGTGGCAATATTGTCACCCAGAAAATTAGGGAAGACAAACTTCAGGTTGACATAGCACTATATTTAAGATACAAGTACAAACTAAAATTTAGTAG